GACACAACACTCAACCTCCAGATTATGCATGAAATTTAACCATGAACATCTATACTAAATACTGTTATCTATACTAAATACTATTATGTATATGAGCACCACCATTTGAGACAATTTTTATTTATGCACTTGACAGAGTGACAAGTGCAGGACACAGACATAGTTAACATTGGCAGATTCAGTACCTCGATGCAGACAATGAAGCAACAGCTGGCACCTGCAAGCTCATATCAGGCTTCCTATGACAACCCCACCTCTTCAGCCGTCATCACGTCCTACAGGGGATACAGGAACAGCAAGTTGAGACAGAGCTAGAGTGAAACCCAGGTCCTCTCACAGGGAGTATGAGCATCTTAATAACCAGGCTAAATTCCCACTCCCAGCTATGTTTGTTTTGTTGCTATATTTGGGTCTATAGAAGTATAGATGATGATTATTAGAAAGGCAGCTTCAATTACAGTTTTAGAGTAAATCAAAGCCATCTTGGTAGGCACCATAGTCATGGCGGGCCTCATAGTGTACGCACAGCTGGAATCTGTTCATTTCACAAAGTGAGAGTTTTCCTGTAAATGTCGTTACTAGAATGTGTCTGTCTTCAGCATAGCTGTTTATTTTGGGGAATCATGTCTAGAGAAACTGTGCTTATCACATAGATGATACTACATTTGAGATGTGCTACCTTCTCATTACATAACTTGCTCCATCACGTAGGGGTGTGCAGTCAGACTGTAGTTTTAAAATTCACAGCAAGGGTCTGATGTGGTATAATGGTTAAAGCTACTGCTTGAAACACCAGCATCCCCCGTAAGCGCTGGTTCGAGTCCCAGCTATTCCACCTCTGATCCAAATCCCTGATAATGTCCTGGAAAAAGCAGTGGAATATGGGCCAAAAGATTGGGCCCTGGCCTTCCACATGTGAGACGTGGGTGAAGCACCAGTTGAAGCCTGGCCTAGGGATCTAGGGATGGCCTTGTGTAGGTATAGAGTGAAACAGTGGATAGAAGTGCTCTCTCTCTCTCTCTCTCTGTCTCTTCCCCTCTTTCTTAATTCTGACTTTTAAACCAGAAAAAATCCTAAAACAAGCAAAAAAGCAGAAAGCAAGTGCACAGATAGTAGCAAATTGCATTAATAATGGTCATGGGGAAAAAGCACTTTGTGAGAAACGTTCAGCAAAAATACATCAGGGCTTCTCTAATTCATGAAACTCCAAATACTCCTTTGTTAAGATTCTGAATTGTTAGACACGCTGGTATGATTGAAAACGTCTTTCTTATGCTTTCCCTATGCGCTGCATTTTCTTCATATTTTGTGATAGATTTGAGTTTCAGTGCCTGTATTCCTTTATTCTTTCCGAGTCATTTTCTTCCCTAAAGCTACGGTGACTTCAGTTATGGTAGACAGCTGAAAAGTACAGATGCCTACCACGTGCACACTAACCAGCCCGAGTCAGGGAAGATCAGCATGGCACTTTGACCTGTGAGTAGTTTAATGCACAATTAGGCACACTTATCTAAATGGACTGTTATGCAAAGCTAATGCTTTTGCTTGATCACTGTTCTGTCTGTTCCAGCAGGTTGCCTCTTCTCTGAAAAGGGTTATAAACATCAGGGAAAAGTATACTAAAGAATGGAGTTGATTAGTGTGACATATTTGAGTTTCTTTCTACCTCTCTCTCAGCAGTAAGCCATGGGGAGGCAGGCCCAAACACAGTGAATTAAATTCAAATTACACAGCACTGGCTAGAAAATTGTTCAGTTAATTCAGCCTCCAAAATGAAATTTGATTTTTTTTTCTTTACACTTGAGCCACTTTCAGATTTTTTCATACTGTGATGATTTCTGCCAAGGCATCTATTGATTTGAGATCTTTTATTCACAAACCAATTGCTAGTTTTTAATTTTTAAAAGAAAAATATGCAAAGCGCAAGTCTGTTTATTACATCAGGAAAAGTATGTTAAAACTAAAGTATAGTTTTATAAGAGAGCCATATTTATGTGGTGGTTTTTTTTTTTCTGCTGCAAGAGTGCTATGGAGGTACAGTTGAACGGTATTTTTTGTTATGCTTTATGGTTTGGGAAAGGTAATACTAAGAATATTCTAACATTTTCTGTTTTCTGTGGAAGTATGCCAAGGGAAAACGATCTTAAAACAACATTGGACTTACATTGCCTAAATAATTTATTCTACATGAAACATCATCTTTCAGTCACACATGTGTAGGTTGAGACTTTAGCAAGCAGCCAAATGATTTGTATGCGATGTTTGCTTTTGTTATATTTTGAGCCAAGACAATAAGAGGTGGAAGCCTAATCCAAAAGAGTTCTAGTGTGACTATATCTATCTATCTATATACACACACACGGATATATATACATATATATGCACATACATATATATGTTTTGATGTGAATACTAGCATGTGCACTAAGTTTAAAATAGTCTGCAGATACAACTTTCAGATTTATGTACAAGGGAATTACCTACAGATATTGACAGAATAGATTGAATTGGTGCTTATTTTCATGAAATACTAAATACAATGTTGATAATATGGATTCCTTTTTTAAAAAAAAGTATGATCTCATTCTATTCAAGGTGTTTGTGATGTCCTGGGTTTATTCTGACATCTGAAGTGCTTCCAGGTTCTCTGTTTTGTCAGATGAGAGAAACAGGGCATGCTTTCCCATTTTCACAGTGGGACTTCACAGCTACAGCCCTGTTGACATCTCAGGCCAGGCGATGATTTTCTCTGTAGAGCTGTCAGGAACACTTTGAAATATTCAGGGTCTTCTCATTTTTGCCTGATAGGAAGTGGAAGTAAAAGATAGCGCACCTTCGTTTCAACTGAGACAGTCTAAAATTTCTCTAGACATTGCCAAGTATTTCCAGTGGAGGAGAGAGGAAGAGGCAGTGTCATTAACTTCATTTTTCTTTTACTTCGTTCACATGATCCTCCCCTTCAGGAAGATCAGGGCAGTATCCGCAGCGGTAACACCGTGTCTGTGACGTTGCTGCATTTAGCCTTCTGCAGGGAACATGAGAAATTATCTTGTAATGTTGAAATTCATTTTAAAGAATCTGCCATGATAGAAAATGAGAATAACTCTCCATAAGGTGTTGGCTCTAGAATGAAACTCATCATCCCCATGGGTTGAGTTGGAGCCACTCACCTGCAAAGCCACATAATCCACTAAGTTATCCTTATAAAGCCCTTTAGATGGTTTTATAAAATGTAAATACATGACTGTCATCCCAGCTGATGATAAGGTTCACAGGCATTACACTTCCAGAAAGTAGTATTTTAAGTTCCCCTTTTAAAATAACAGCAGTAAAGTGAATGAATCAGAAACTTTCTCAACGCTCTCAGAATTAGAGTGGAAATTATCTCTATATGCCATATCACATTTTGATATTTAAAGTTACATTGTGAATCATTAGCTCTCAAATGCATCCTGTATTTTTTTTTTAAATCTGTGTATCTGTTTTATTTGAGAGGCAGAGAGACAAGCACAGACAGAGTTCGACAGGTCCCATCTGCTGCTTCACTCCCTAAATGCCTTCAACAGTTAGCCCTGGGCCAGGCTGAAGCCAAAAAGGCAGAACTTAATCCTGGATTCCCATCAGGAAAGCAGTGGACTTAAATGCTTGGGCCATCATCTGTCGTGCCCCAAGGTGGAATTAGCAGCAAACTAATATGGGAGCAGAGCCAGCTTGAGCCCAGACTTTCTGACTTAGCATGTGGGAACCCCATGTACCCTGCTACCCACTGTGTCAACTGCCTGTCTCCAAATGCTGTGTGCACAATTATATACATTGCATGTGTAATAGCTTTAAGCCTAATACTTATCATGAAAGTGGTCCGTTCTTTGTATTCATTTTTTCAAGGTGCTACAGACTTCTTCAAATAAATCTATACTGCCGTCTCTGATAATGTTAAGGAGTTCTTTAATAAAATCGGACTGAATGTGTGCTTTTTTTTTTGAAGTAGGACTGATATTATTTTTCTTCCCCATTTTGAATGAGAACTATAGGAATGCTACTGTTGTGAATGTGTTCTAACCGTTTCTCATCTCCATAGTTCAGAGTGATTTCATCAGGTATTTTTCTTGTACCTTGAAGTCTGTTTTACCTGAACTTTAACCAAATCTAATGTAAACCCCCTTTGTGTCTTGTAAGTGGTGATGAAGAACCACCTTGGTGCTTGTAAATGCATTGATTATGTGACTAACAGGAGGTACATACACTTGCTTTTTATTACAGAAATGGTTACCACTGTAATAGTTCATTACTGTCAGTGTAATGAAGCAACTAGAATGCCGCAAATACCTTCCCCCCATGCCACTCCAAATACTATTTTACATCTTCTGAAAAAAAAAAGCCATCTAAAGGACCACTGAGAAACAGTGTCTGCCATTTGAACGTTACGAAAGGGAGTGTGAAAGCTGCACAAGTGAACTGCAGTTGTTTCTCTTTATCATCAATGAACGAGTCATCTAATTCTCTATGTAATCTATTTTTCTTAAAAATGACAAGCTGTATCTCAGCGGTTCATCAAACTCGACCAGGTTGTGAATAGAAAAGATTACGGCTGTTCTGCTTTTGGGAAGGCAAGCACAAGTACTGCATAAAGCCCACTGATGCATATATTGTAGCACTCTAGGGCTGTAATAAATTTTAAATCATCTGCTTCTGCCAGGTTGCGTTCAACATCTGTATGTTCCTGGGCGCAGTTTCTCTTTGCAGTAGAATGGATGTTTATCTATACGCTTGCTCTCACAATTTCTCTGTCTGCATGTGAAATGAAGCATAATTGAGTTTTCACAAAACTGCAGATACTCCATGAAGGCTGTCATAAGTTGACACGTTTAAGCTCTGCATCTTTGGTCCAGCAAATACTGAGTTTGCCTTGCTTCCCAGCTCTGTGAGAGTAGTTGAATTTCATAGACGACACACTCTGTTGCGACGTTTAGACTCACCTCTTGAATGTGCTTCCTCCACAGACCACAGATGACATCCTCGTGGCCTCAGCAGAATGTCCCAGCGATGATGAGGACATTGACCCCTGTGAGCCGAGCTCAGGTGGGTTAGGTTAGTCGACTTTTTTTCTTACTTCCTTGCCTTTACTGTAAATTTTGTTGCATGCTGTTTTCCTTGAGTAAGTCCTCCATGTTAAATGTGTAAGTTTATATTCTTGCACAATGGTTCATTGTATGAAAAGGGTATTTACATGTTACACAGATAAATTTTTCCATGTTTATGAGGGGAAAAAAGAAAAACAAAGCCCAGTAAGTATGTGTACTTTGGAAAAAGTGATTGGAAGCAGTACATGGGTCTGCTACCTCGCTGTGCTCTTTCCATTAGCTCACAACCTGGTTTTGTATATAACAGTATAATGGGCTTTCCCTTGGGTCACTGAGAGTAAAATTGTAAGGCTAAAATATTGCAGCACATTGTGGAAAATTATTTGACCTTTCTGCCAACAAAAGGGACCTACCACTCACTCTGCTAGCAAATTCTCTTAAGTGATGTATTTCTGAATTTTGGAAGTGAGAGTATTATGGCAATAGTAAAACAAACAGCAGGTAGAGTCCTTGATACATTTAAGAGGGAAATATTTCAGTGTTGCCAGGTTTCCTTAAAATGCAAGCTGATGTATTTTACTTGTAGCCTGTGCATAATTTTTCCTCCTTTTTTTATAATATGTTTGCATCTCTTCTGCTATGACTGACACATAACTACTGTTTCTATACAGCCCTTATACCATGAAGGGAGGCTGTGAACACAGAAAATAAATTACTTATGTTCTGGATTCATTCTAAATAGTCACAATACGAGTATTAGGATCATTTCCATTAGTTTCTTTATAGTGTGGTGTTTCTTAATATTCAATAATTTCCTTGTTTATTAGTGAAGTAGATACAGACTAACCCTGTTGACTAGTCCATGACCTCTAATTGTGTCTCCCCAAGAGCCGCCCCAGACCTTCATGTCACAGTAACTGGTTTTCCTTTCTCGTGAACAGTGACAGTTCCAACTAGTGTGGCTGCTAACTGTCAGCTTGGTCAGGGCAGATGCAAGTGAGGATGACACACTGGGTTGTCAGCCGAGCCAAAGTGGGCTTGAGGATCCAGGCTGTTGATGCTCTCATGCCCTTTCCTTTAGTCTCCACACCACCATTCAATGTTCCCAGCCCTCAGAATCATCCGCCATACCAAATGAGTAGATATCTGATAATGACCTGTCCAATTCCCTTACCTCGTTGATTGTTTTCAGTACTCCATTCTGGGTTTCTGGACAGACAGATTCACTTCATGACACTGTCTTGGGCCTATTGGCCAAGGTGCATCCTGTGTTTCATTCATATTCCCATTTTGTGTTGTTAAAACAGCTGCTGATGTCTTTGTCATTGTGATGTATCAATCCCATCTTTGTTTTTCTCCACCCTCAGATTTTCTTTTTGCATTTCCTTTTGGGCTCACACATCCAGTTTTTGTTGTGGTTAATATCTCAAACCAGCACATTCTGTTTCAAGTTTTCTTGTATTTTTTCATTAGATATTGCTCATATGATAAAGTCAGGTATGTGTGGTGGGAAGGGGCATTTATAGTTAATTTTGTTTTTCAAATTTTTATTTTCCTGAAGGAGTTTGATGTTTTCAGTATCGTGTTTAATATTTATTTATTTAGAAAGGCATCTGTACAGAGAGGGTCGGGGAGACCTCGTCGGGTGGGACCCATAATTAGGGTCATCATCTACTACATTCACAGGACATTAGCAAGAAGCTAGATCAGAAATGAAGGAACCAGGACATGGAACAGGCATCCATGTGGGATGCCAGCATCACAGGTGATGACTTTGCCCATTGTACTACAATGCTGGCCTTTTTCAGGGATTTATACATTATTAAAACAGTATAGGTTATTATGAATTACAGCAGTTGCTGATTTTTTCCTTTGGAGTAAATTCATGTTTGTAGCCTGAGTATGGATTTTCATCTTTTTTTATACAGAATTCTGGCATTGAATACTTTGTATATCAGTGTGCTCATAAAATTGTAACTGTTTTCTTTCTTGAGCTGAAATTATTCATTTCTTCCAGCCACTGCTTATTGGTCTTATTATCCACTCTCTATAGCCTAATTCATTGGCTTTCCATATCTCCACAGCACCAGCTAGGAACAGGCCAGGATGGTAGGGGAAAGGAAAAGAGAAAGGCAGATAACCACTTCACTCTACTCTTCCCTCTTTTTTTCCCAGTCGCTTGAATTTGTTTGCCTTGCCATATTTCATAACAGTGGAAAGTTAGTAGCAGATTGTTAATACTGTACTCCAGAAACTCTTTCTGTCTTTATCATCTTGCATCTGAATAAGTCCTGTTTATTCATCCATTATTGGTTCATTAATACATAACCTGTGGTCCACACTATGAAACCCCAGATTGCCTTGTTTCTTGCATGGGCATGTTCCATAAACATTACTTCTATTCCCTGAACCAGTCTCTTGCCCAAAATACAAGTAAAGCAGCTTCTATCTTCCAATAGCTACTTTGACAGTCTTACCAGACGCAGTTCACCTTGTTATCCTTTGCTTCGAGGCTTCCTTCATTTAGGTTTCGTTTCATTTGTTCCCATTCAAATGTGTGCTTCAGAGTCTGTTGCAACAAATGGGTCATTTGCTATAAGCTTGTTTTGTGATCTAGCTGATCCTGGTCTTGATTAATTTATACCTCGAATAGTTTCCCTTTTCTGTTGGCATTTTCTCAAACCTCTTCTGCATTGTCTTTCCATGTGATTCCTTTTCTGCGCTTGTCTTTAATGTTTCATGGATATTGCCCTTTTAGCAGGATTTGTTCTCTTTGTGTGACAGGTTCCACACAAACAATATCAGTCTATTTTCCAACTTTTTAAATTTTTGTTAAGGAATAGAGGTATATTTTTCACTCTGTTTGAACACTGTTTCATTATAGGTTACTCCCCTGCAGATCTCTCTAACTTTAATGTGTTGCTTTCGTAAATCTCTTTTTGCAAGTTGCTGTTCATCTTGAATAAAAATATAAAATATTAGGGACTATAATTATTTTTCAGATATCATTAGATTCTGAATATAATGAGATCTTGATTTTGAAAAAGCACTCCAAGTATTAGTTAGTCCTATTTTGGAATATTGACAGTTTAGAAAGGAAACATTGAGGAACACTTTCAGAAATGGATCTGTCTGCTGTGCTCACTCACCATGCCCTGAGTGAGTGGGAGCAGATGTCTGCCGAGAGGTGTACAAGTGTATTCTTGTCACTCTGAACCTTGCCCTTATCTCCGGAAATGGGCTCACTCATGATTTAGGTGTCTTCCTCAGGTTGTTAATGGGAAAAAATTGCCTTTTAAGGACCAATAGATTATACCTCTTAATACATATTAGTTGAAGTATGGCGCCACTCAACACTCCTTTTGAGGAGCAAAGTTGTACATTTTCTAGGCTGCCAGTATTACCCCTATGAGGTTTTATAGAATTTTATTCCACATCTCTGGTGTTCTAAGCTGTAAGAGAAAAAATAGAAAGCCGATACATGGAGGTAAATCCTAACAAGGGATATCCTTCATTCCATCAAAGATGCATTCTGTTTTAATTTGTTTTTCTGATTATCTGTTTATTTATATACCGGTGACTCTAAAATATCACCTGTGTTTCAGAGTTGTTGGGATAATTCAAGTGAATGTATTTAAGACTCTCTTTGCCTTTCTAAAAGTAGAACACAAATGGCAACTTTCCTATTTTTTCAAATCAGTTATATAAAAAGAACATTCAAGCATTTTTTCCCATTTATATAATACTGTTACTTTTCCTGACTGGAAATTGGCGGGCAACTGATGACACCACTCAGAGCTCCTGATGAGAGCTGTATGTGTTGAGGCTGGTCCAGAGACAGGCTCCTGGGTATGAAGACATGAAACTCAATTATACTTGATTCCTATCACTCTGTGCTCCCAGAGAGTGCTGGATGCTAGCCTTGCATTGATAAAAACAGTTTTTAGAATATAAAGGGGCATATATGCTACTCAGGAGGACTGATTGAGCTCTGACTCTTAGCCAATAGGTAGAAATCAGAAGCAGTGATCTGTAACTAGGACACAGGGCACTGTTGTCCTAAAACGCTTGATTTAAACTGCCTAGGCACATGACAGATGGATGACCTTTTCATCGTTTTTTTGGGGTTTTTTTTTTTTTTGGTTGGTTTTTTTTTTTCTTTTTTCGCTTTACCAGCCACCAAAAAATGAGGCTGTTGCATAAATGAATTAATCTGGAAAGCATATTTTAAGATTGCTCGTAATGTGTAATATATGTATGCTATTACAAATCTTCTCATCATACAAGTTTATTTTTCAATGCTTATTCACATGGACATTAGTCTGAAAAGCAGATTGTTTTTTTCAAATCCTACATTTTTAATTCACTTAGTAACTTGACAATATAACAACCCTGAAAAACCACTTATGTTCCAAGGTGACCTAAAATTATCTCAGGAATCCTAGTTGGTGGGGGAACCCTTCCAAATAGAACTCATTCTAAAAATTCCAGAAGAAGGTTGAAACAAATGATTCTTTTAAAGATTGACTTATTTTTGTTTGAAAGACAGATTTTGAATAGTGAAAAGGAGAGCCAGGGAGAGGTCTTCCATCCATGAGGTCACTCCCTAAATGTAGTGACCTCAGCCGGTGCTTGAGCTGATCCAAAGCCAGGAGCTTCTTTCCAGGTTTCTCAAATGGCTGCAGGTACCCAAGTACTTGGGCCATCCTTTATTCCCTTCCCAAGTCATAAGCAAGTATCTGGATCAGAAATGGAGCAGCAAGGACTCGAACAAGTTTCTGTATGGGACGCTGGCTCTGCAGATGGGGGATTAGCCTGTTATGCCATCATTGCACTGGTCCCCCCAAGCAGATTATTTTTATGTTAATATCCATAACCATGAATGAAGATTATCCTCCTCTTTGATGTAAGAGTTTCCTATTCAATAATTCCACTTTGTTAGTTGTTACCAAGGGAGCAGAAACTCTTGTTTCGTAGGAGCTGTGTTAAGAAAGAGCTAAGAATAAT